CTGGCCCTGCTGAGCTTCACCGTGGCTTTCCTGGCCAGGAACCTGCCTGACACGTTCAATGAAGCCAAGTTCCTGACGTTCAGCATGCTGGTGTTCTGCAGCGTGTGGGTCACCTTCCTCCCCGTGTACCACAGCACCAAGGGGAAGGTCATGGTGGCCATGGAGGTCTTCTCCATCTTGGCCTCCGGTGCGGGGCTGCTGGGCTGCATCTTTGTCCCCAAGTGCTATATTATCCTGTTAAGACCAGAAAGAAACTGTCTGCATAAGTTCCGACATAAAAAACATTCTGGGATCCCTAGGCCTTCTTAAGTTTAAACATGTTTCTGAAAATACAAAGCAAGGCTGCACCATTTTTGCCCTTTCTACCAGGTTATAATTTAGGGTTTATTTCAGTGAACTTGTGACTCTTAACTTGTTTCTCTAAGAGTACAGTCACTGCATCTTGTAGCTATCATCTTTTTCAACAGAAATTTATTCTGAAATTTTTTTGTTTCTTCGCACGAAAGCTACAATTCTCCCTATTATTTCTGCTTAATTGTGATTGTATTATCCATTTTTGGCTTGTCTTTCCCTTAGGTTTTGAATTGTCTTTTGTAATTTCTTTAATATACTAAATTTGTGCTTGTACCCCACTGTTTCTCAATCCTCTGTTTCATTTTTATTTCATTTTCAAGCACCATGCTTTTAATATGCTGATTATAAGCATTTATAAGCATTATTTGGTACACGGTTTTCTATTTTTCTTTTCAAGTTTCACTATTGCAATTTGTCTGAGGCTATTTTTACAGTATTCTCTCCCATATTGCCTTTAGAAGTCTAGCATTGGCTGGCCTCTGCAATCATACTGCTCATTTTAGGATCGCAGGTATTTAGTTCATAGGTTAATTTGGTGTTATGGACTGTGTGTAGATGTCCCCTCAGAGCCACTTGCAGTCGTAAGTGGCGCTTTTCAGAGAGGGCTGGATCTAGAGTGTGATGCTAGGATGAAGGGTGGGTGATCACTAAATCAGTCCACTGATTGGTGTAGCACTGCTCTAATCCTGGGAGCCCAGATAGAGTATAAAAGGAGTAGAAAGAAGGTGCTGAGGTCGCTTGCCTGCGCTCACCCACCTGCTCGCTGTGGGCTAGTTCTCCTCTGCGATGCCCCTCTGCCATGCCACCGTGCCCTGGCCCAGCCAACCGTGAACCGAAACCTCAACAGAGTGTGAGCCAAACAAACCTTTCCTCTTTCAACTCTGGGTGTCAGGTATTTTGTCTCAACAATGAGAAAAGTAACTAAGACATCTGTGGAAGAACTAGTAGATGTACAGTAGTCTGTGTTCCCATCCATGGTCAGATGTCTCGATTTCTCCTTGTTTCATCATCCACTGTTCATACAAGAGTTCATATGAGTAAACGATATCTACAATATAGATGCAATAAATTAATATTTATCCCTGAATATTTTTTGTAATTTGTGGATAATGTGTACTCTTTTCAATCCTAAGAATTTTATTCTGAAATGAAGGGCATGAAGCACTCTTATTTTCATAAGAAATCCAAGCATATTATAGAAAACAAGACAGGAATTTATTAATTTATATATATATATATAAAACAAATTTTAATTTTCATCTATTTGGGAGAGCAAAGCCAATTCCTTGTATATTCTTCTCTCTACCCAGTTTAATTGCTTCTACTCTACATTTGCATTAAGATCAGCGTATGTTTATAATAGTAATAAGTCCAAAAATTTCTCAAATGATATTTCCAAGTCTTTACAAATTATTTAATCACATTAATGTTATCAAAATAATTGTTCATAATTTTGGCAGAATTGGTAATTCAGAGTCGCATAGTAAAATAACTGCATAACATATGTGTGCTTTTGTATAAAATCTTATATAGTATCAGGCATAGAATGGTGCCTTTTGAGTGACAGGTGAGGCCCACACAAAGCACAGTATGATTCCTTTCCCTAGCCTGTCACAGTGTGGCCACCAGCATGGTCTTTACCCATCCCAGGTGGAAGGCCCTGTGCATGTGAGAAGACCTCCCCGTGCCTGAGCACAAACCTGCTCCCATGTAGGGCTCCACCATTCTGTACCCTGGTCAGGAAATCCTCCCACACCCTATGAGCAGGAGCTTTCCCAGAACATCTCCTGGGCACAGAGGATGCCAGCAGAGGAAAAGAAGGCCGTCATGCTGAGGAAGAGCTCAGGCTATGGGCGCTGCTCCATGCACACACCATAACTTCCCCCATAGGGGACAGTAGTAACAGATGGCAAGCAAAAAGCAGAACTATACCTGGCCAGGTCTTGGAAGCCCCTGAATCTTCCACTCCACAGTCAGTGTCCAAACTGGAGGTTTGTGTGGGGACCCTGCAGGGTGGCTCTCGGGTGGACCAGAAGCACATTTCTGTTCTAACCACTGCTGCAAACATTCGTGATGACACATTTTGTGTGTGTCCAAACTGGCACATCCACAGCTCTGCTCCCAAGAAGGGTCTCCTGCCAGTGAGACCTGCTCTGTTCTGAGACTTTAGGCCTGGACCAGCTGGTATAGCACCCACCTCTCTTGTCCAACACTCTTCTGAGCTCCATCACATGGACAGTAAAAGCCTACAACCAGCCCTGTTTATCATTTGATGTGTTGGCTTCTGGGGCATGGGGGCTTAGACAGTCCCTGCAGAAATCCTGTCTGAGGCAGTTTGAGGTGGGACTTGGAGTATGGATCTCAACTCATGCCAGCTGCAGGGACTGATTCAGAATGAGAAGAGGAAATAGTGGCTTCTCAGCCTAGCAGGGAGGACATACTTCCAACTGTCATGCTGCCCTTCCATTCCTGAGATATTCACAAAGACACCAAAACACAGGTGTGCTCAAAGGTTCCAGAGAGATGATTACCCAATCGGGGATGATGAGGAAGCTGAAGAGCAGGTGTAAGATGGGGAGCCCCACACTCCAGACCCTCTCTGACCTCTTGCACAGGCACAGGCTCTTCAGGCTCCTACAGCCCACATGTTCCCCTGGGGAGCCCCGCTGCTATCAGTCACCAGCTGTGTGTCCTCATGCCAGTCTCTTAACCTCTCTGTGTCACATTTTCCCCACCTCCAAGATGCTGGTAGTAAGAGATGTAAGTGTGCCTGCTAGAGAGCGGATTTTCAATAAATACAGCCCTTACCTAGGACTCAGACAAATGCCTCTGCAGTTAGTCCCACATCTCACATCCCTTCTCAAGGCACAGAAATAGTATCAGCTGTACATATATGAATGACAGAAGTAATGCACACTGACCAGGCTCAGTGTGAGGGAACAGTGACAGCTGTACTTGCTGCATGCTGACCGTATTCCACAGACCTTCCATGTACCATTGTCACCACTGTCCTAGCGGCCAGCCACTACTGTCAACTTCATGTCACTGACATGGAATCCAAGGCACAGGAGGGGAAACTCCCTTGCCTAGTAACACAGCTACAGCCACAGAGCTGAGATTTGCTCCTCCATGTCCTGGCTTTGGAGCTCATAGGCATCACCAGTGTGTTACCCTTGGTCCCCAGAGAAAAGCAGAGCCGCCTTGCCTGTCTCTCAGCACCGCCCACATTTCCCATTCTTGACAGCCATTTCCCAGCATGCACACATATGTGCACACACATATAAAACTTTGTATGCCTGCACATATTCCATCAGCTCAGCACGCACACACATGACAGCGCTTCAGTGTAAGCATGTGTGCCTGTAAGGTGAGCAGTGGCAGTGACATACTGCTACCACAGGGCCCCAAAATTCTGCGCTCCCAGTGACCACTTGTCACTTGCTCTGGGTCTTGCACTTTGACCCAGACAAGGTACTCCACAAGGAACAAAGCCAGACTGCCCTCCCGTGCGTGACACCTTGCTTCCTTCTGGCATGAGCCAGTGAAAGGTAGTGGATCCCAGATGACATGCAGCTGGATCACACTGAGGCCACTGTAGCTGCCTGTGTTGATCATAACCCTGATGGTGACCATGGAAACCACATACCTCTAAGAAGATAAGCTGCAGTCCTCTGCCCCCATGGATTTTAAAAGAAAAATCACCAGGGGTTATATAAGCTTCCTGTCCCTTCCCTGCGTGGGGATAAATGTGCACACTCACACACATTCACATGTTCACCCACTCATACCCCCATGCAAACCCATTCACTTACAAAGCACAAGATGATCATGAGGTCTCACACTGAGCTGTGCATATTCACAAGATCACTCATCCACTGATGCACACATTTATTTTCACAGACTTCCCACTGTCAAACCCCCGCCCAGACAGAGAAGAAATACTCCTGGAGCAGAGCCAATGACCGCAGCGGCAGGGACAGAGATCACGGGGAGCCTGAGCTTGTAAAAGCAGATAAACAAGCAACCGCCCTAGGCAGCGGCACCTTTAAAATAAGGATGTCACCAAGATGTCCAACTTTCCCAGACCCAGAATAAAATTTCCCTCTTCCCGGCCATACCTTTCTCCTATTCAAAACCCCCTATAAAACCTCCGTGCCCCTCGCTCGAGCCAGTGGTCTTATTGCCCTTGGCCCGCCTGCATCCAGGTTCCAATAAACTTCGCTTATTGCTTCAGAGTCGCCCGACTCTGTGGTGTTGGTCGCGCCTCACTTTATCCTAACAAACACCTGGAGGCGAGCGGGATCCTTGACAGCAGGACGTGTGGTGATGGAGGAAGCCGCAGCAGTCCAGGACACCGGGAGTGTGCGGCACAGAAATTTGCACCTTTAGAATTTCGCGCTTTTCCCAGACACCCCCGCGGCTGTGGAGCCCGCTCTGCCTGCAGGTGCCCTCGGCGCGTGCGCAATAGAGCCCACCGGCTCCGCCCCGGAAGTCACCTCAGAGCGCTCTGCAGTTTCCGGTTTTACGAAACCCGTGGGGACTGAGGTTAGAAAGGGTTGTTAGGAATACCGTGGAGTCCAGTCCACCCACGTCACAGGAGATGAAGTTAGGGCTGTCCTGTCGCCAGTCCCTGCTCCTGTGTCCCTACAGAGGGAAGTCGGAGGAGACCGGTTGGCAGGACAGCGAGGTCAGAGCCCTGTGGACAGCAGAGCACACAGAGGAGAGGACTCAGCAGAGCACCAGCGGGCGAGGGGCTGGCAGGGAGCGAGCGGTGCTGGTGGAACCAACCGTTCTGGACACTTTGGTACGTGTGTGGAATTGGGCGAGACTCAGCCAGGAGCGGGGGCCAGAAAGGTGACCACGCGGTGCCCTGTGTGAAGGGTGTCAGACGAGGAGGGAGTGGGCGGGACCGGTTAGACTCAGCCTATCAGGGCGAGTCGAGCTGTATAGGGGCGGAGCCTATCAGAGGAGTGAGGCCAGTGGAGCCCAAAGAACCAGACTAGATTCCAAGGAAGCTGCCCTGAGTTCCTGAGTTGGAGCTGGGTGGGGTGGAGTGGAGTGGAGTTCAGCCGGTGAGCAGGGGAGGTGGGTGGGGCCTCCTGGAGGCCTTGGGAGTGGGAGGGGGCAACTGCTCTGGAAATCCTTCCAGACACCACCTTTGGACCACACCCTTTGAGACCCAGGGAAAAAGGCTCCTAGCTCTCCCCTGGCTGAGATGTAGTGTCAGACAGACTCGTTTCCACTGGGCCTCAGTTTACCCATTTATAAACGTAGGGCAATGGAGGGAGGCAGAAGGCTCCAGTTGCTCAGCCTCCCTTCTTTCCACCCACTCATGGATGCTGTGGCCTCTCTATGTGTCCATGGGTTGGATGCTGCATCTTCCGCTGGGGTCCATCACTTGGGTCCCTGTGAGAGTCCGAGGAATGGCACTGCAGAAACATGTTTTTCCAAAAAGATAATTGTCCCTGCTTCCTTCACAGAGGTGTTTCCTGTATCTGGGATGTCCGAGGGTAAGTGTTTGATGCAAATCCTCAGGCTTCAGTCTGGTGAGGTCCCCAAAGTTGCCTTATTTACATCCACGTCCCACTGTCCTTGTGCCTGGGCAGTGGAAGAATAAGTGAGAAGACATGGCAACTTCAGTCTCCTCACTTTTGGCATCTGAAAATGTGGAAAATAGCTCAAGTGACGCCTGCTGGTGGGAAGCCACCCCGACTTCATCATTCACCGAAGGAGGGCTTCTTGATGGATGGGGCACAGGATCTGTATTTTGCCGGTATAATCATTTAGTCTTTCATGGAAAAATACTTTCCTACTTTTACATAAAACACTTCTGTACCAGGCACTGTTCTAGGCAACAACGTTAGTAGATGGCAGGCAAATCAGCCAGGAGTCCCTGATTCTATTCCACTAGAAGGGTGTGCTCTAGTGGTGTGACTCAGGAATGCAGGCAGTAGGCAGCCCTGGGGGACTGACTCCTGAGGCATCTGCTCTGCTGTCACCATCCATGGCTACACTTCCACTGCTGAATTGTTGCACATAACACCTCTGACTCTGTCACTTATCTACCAAAACCCCTTTCCTGCCTGTCACATAAGGAGGAGCTGGCACCTGCCTACTTCTCCAGTGCTATCTCCTCATCATCCCCTCAGATTGTAGGAACCCCTGGCTGCTCACCCCTCCCAGTGCATACCTCTGCCCTCTGCTCTATGTGGTCCCCGCCCCTCCTTAAAAGTGCTGAACTATTAACTGTTAAAAGTATTGAACACCAGAGAGCACCAAAGAGTATATAATTTCATGTCTAACAGCCGCTGCAGTCTTGGCATACTGGCTTGATTACTTGCAATTTTGGGAAGCCCCTTCGCACTTGTTTTATACGCAGCCTATATTTCTGGTGTAACTCCAAGTGAATTTTGCATGTGCAATTATCTTTTCAGCTCTGAATAGGAAAACGAATACTATGACTTGCACTCTCCATTGTGTTTTACCTCATCTTCTCTGTGGAGAACAAAAGCCACAGTTTCATTCAGCAGCCAGGTAAGGCTCTGAATTTATTCACGGCCTGGTCCTGTAGCTATTCTTGCTGGGGTGCTTCATGAAACTGCCAAGTTGGGAGGGATTCCTTTCTCTCTGATATGTGCTGATTTTGATAAACCAAGACCAATTAAATGGATTTTTCCCCCAAAATTTCCATTTATTTTAAAACAAATATTAGGCAAAAATCAGATTTTCTGCTCTGCTTTTTTAGCAGATTTCTTTTATTTCACCTGTGTAAGATTGCACACACTGCCCCATTTTAGGAGGGGTCAACAAAGTTGTATTGCATATGAAATCAAAATAGTGGGTTTTACTTGCTCTCTGCTGGCATGGCATGAAAGGACATTTCATCCTTTATACCTGACTTCTCTACAAATACCATCTATTAGGGTGAGGCAAATACTAGATTGATAGCAGTAGTGTTATTTTACTTCCCAATGTAGAATTGATCTTGGTGGTCCTGTAATGCAATGTCCATAAGTTATGCATACAAAGTATCTGTTTTTCCACTTGAGGCAAAGATTGTCCTAGGGCAAGTGCCTAGGAATATTAGCAAATCTTCCCAAAATATTCTAGGAAGATTTCAAGGGAAGTCACTGGGCCGGAGGGGTCCGTTTTAGGAGTGGCAACTTCAAGTTTTGTCTTGTTCCACATCTCAGTTTCAGTTTTTTCCTCTGCAAAATCATGCTCATGATCCCTACTTGGTGGAATTGTGACAATTCAGTGAGACCTGGGTGTTAAAAGGCTTTCAGGGCTATGCTGCTGGGGTCAGGACAGACAGGCTCCTCCTCACCACCTATGAAGGAGGTGCCCCGTATCTCTTGCTGAATTAGACCTGTGGCAGGCTGCCTGGCTTTGTGAGTTGAGCCCATTTGTGTTTTAGTGCCGTTGTGCTCCTGTCTGTGAAGCCTAGGGTACAGTCTGCTCAGGGGTTGTGTCAGTTGTGTGGGTAAAAGCCAAATTCATACGAAGAAACCTGCTGACTGCTTCGCCCAGAAAGTTACAGCTCCTGAGTCCCTGGCTGGCAGTGGAGCCCAACTCCTGCCCATTGTCCTGTCCAAGTGCACCTCTAGAAATCTCCTCTGTGAAGATTAATGCCAGCTCAGTGTCTCTGCAGCTGATGTCTTTGGGTATCTCTTGTTCCTCCTCCCACACTGGGCCTCCCCAGTTTCTCTCAAAAATGGGCTTGTGTGGAAATACACTGTGCAGCTTCTTTCCTGCTAACACGTGACGGTTCTAATGAAATCCCTCAGGGCTTAGGCCGTCACACACAGCACATGACTTGACTGTTGTTCAGAAGTTGGTCTGAGAACTGCCAGGATCTCTGCTGTGCTGATAGGTTGAAATCCATTGTTAGAAAAAGGAGCTGCTTTCCACTTGCAGGAGAATGGAGGTAGAGATGAGGCCTGCTCAGGCCTGAGTGTGATTTATGTCCTTTAAGGGACCATTCTGTGAGGTTAATTTTATCCCATAGTTATTGCAGACTGATCAGGTCTGCAATCTGCCAAATGAGTGGACAGTGAGGGCTAAATAAAAGACGCAAGTGGAATGATTTCAGGGCTCCAGGAGGATCAAAGCCCTCTCACAGAATGTGAGCTTCTCTTGGGGCTAAGACCAAGAACTTCTCTGGGTGGCCTGTGTTTACTTAGTTATCAGAACAAGGCAGGGGATACTCAAGAAGGGAAGGTCCACTGAAGGACTTCTCTAAGTAAGGTACTAAGGTAATCCACCCAGGAGTGAGATACTGGAGGCTACAGTCTTTATCTAGTTGAAGTTGGAGCTAGGTGTCCTTGGCTGTGACCTTGTCCTATGCTTTGAGGCTTTACAGCTTCACCCACCATTACAGGCCTCAGTAGGAATCAGTGACTCACAGAGGTTCACTTACTATGAGTCCACCACCCTTCTCCAGACAAGTGGCCTAGACCTTAGACAAGTAAACATGGAAAGCCAATTGTTTAGTTTAAGTCCTGCTCAGAGCTGCTTTGTAGTGGTCCCCATCACCATTCCTTAGAACTCCCTGGATGTCTGGCCTGGCTATGGTTTAGAGTTCAGTGTCCATCAAATGTGTCATTTCTCCACTGTGCAGAGAGTTGAGCAGCATCCTCCACTCTTTGAGGTAGGTGTCTGGACTCTGTCCCTTCCCTGCAAATCCAGGAAATGCCCCCCATCTTTTTCCCTTTGACAGGCTATAAGAATGGAAGCCAAGTCTGGTAAGCTAAAGGGTGCTTGGAGGAATGGAAGGCCTTTCCAGTGAGGGGACTGCAAGGGATCATCACCCCCTTGTGATGGTTACTTGTGTCACCTTGAATAAGAAATGCCTAGCAGATTAGATTAGCACAGTTTTGAGTGTATCTGCATGACTGATTTAACTGAAGAGGGAAAAAGCACCTTCAATGTGATGGCACCAAGCAATAACCTTGTAGTCTTGATGGTATAAAAAGGGAAAGAAGAAGGAAGTTTCACTTTTGCTTCTTCGGAGGAGCTTTGCCTTCACCTTTGGACATCCACCTCCAAGCTTCCAGCACAGACTTCAACCTTCCTGTAAAGAACCTCATCTTCCTGATACAGACTCGCAGGGACTCTGCAGTGAACTCTGGGTCTTCCAGCTTTGACTGCATCCTCTTCTCTCCAGGGTAAAGATGGACGTTTGCATTCTGCAACCCTATCTGTAATGTTTTATGTTAAATATGTTCTAACACATGTGGCCATCTCCATTTCTCTCTGCTGTTTCTTAGCGATGCTCCATCTTGCCCAAGCAAAAGGCCTATTTCTTCCCCATTCCTTCTTTTGTCTCTTTTGCATTTTCTTTGAAATCCTCAAGTTACTTTTCTCATTACCAGGACAAAAAACCTGATACCTGCAGTTAAACGGGGGAAGGTTTCTTTCAGCTCACAGTGTGTAGAAGTTTCAATCCCTAGGTGGCTGGCTCCAAGGCAGGGTGTCATGGCAGAAAGAAACATAGCATGGTGTGACAGGCAGCAAGCAGCAACAGCCTGCCTTTCCCTTTTATCCCAGGTCATTTGGATTCAGGTCCTTTGGATGGTGCGATCCATGCTCAGGTTGGGTCCTCTGCCTTCATTAATGCATTCAGCCATACCCAGCACTATGCTAATTCCATTCAGTGGACTAAGTTAGTACCACACATAGTTAGTCCCTGTGTTACCCCAGGTGTAGGCAGCTCTGAAGCGCCCACCTACAGGCACATGAGGCTTTGGAGGGACATCTGAATACAAGCCATAACACTCAGTTCATCCTCAATTTTCCCTCTCCTGACACTACTTTTTGAGATGTCTTTGTTGCTACATGCTCTTTCCCAGCTTTCCTGTGGTAAACAGACGCACACTCCCATTTCCACGCTTGTTCTCACATGCACATTCATCCATTCAACTGTGGAGACTTCCAGGTAAATAATTTAGGACCGCACAACCTAAATAAGGAGAGACGAGGTACAGGGCCACCAGTGGTGGGAGGGAACATCAGAGAGGCACCTCCAAAGGGAGGACACTGCATCTGCTTCTTGAGGGATATGGTGCTAACCAGTAGTGCTCCTCATCGGAGCTGCTGTTTACTGATCCTTTACCAGGTGCAGGCTGAGCCTACCATGTGCACTGGTTTGTTTGCTCCTCCCACAATGTGACCAGCAGAGACTTTTTATTCCCATTTGCACATGAGGAAGCTGAGGCCTTCAGAGTTAACTCACCAAAGGTCCAGCTACTCTGGGAAGTAGGGTCAGGCTAGGAACCCAGGTGTATTAGCCTGTAGGGCCTGCTTTGAACCCACCTGGCTGTATTCACAGCCCTCGCCAGGCAGAAGGGACGGGAAGTGCATCTCGAGGCTGAGTGAAGAGCAGGAGGAAAGGCATGAAGGCAGGAGGGAGCAGAGGGAGCTCGTTGGTGGGAGGTCAGCTATGCAGCCTCGCTCAGTGGGTCGAGACCTATGGATGGAGCAGAGTCCCCAGAGGAAGGGCATAACCAGGGAGTTGTGAACACTGTCCCCTAGACTTCATGCTGTGGGGCTGTTTCCTTAGCAGGCTGAGCCCAGACACGTGCTCCCTGCATCCCTGAATCTTCTGGCTATGCCTTGAGAGTCTCTCTTCGGATGTGGGCATCACATACGGCATTTTGAGCCCACAGGACAGTGAAGTACCCTGACAGAGCTGGCATGGGTACTCTTTTCTCACCTTTATGTTTTCAAAATCGTGTATTTCACCTGTGTCACTGCAGATTCCTCACCCATATTAAATCCCTGGATTTACTAATGACAAATAAATATATGAAAAAATGTTCAACATCATTAGTCATTTGAGAAATGCAAATTAAAACAGCACTGAAATTTCCTGTCACCCCATAGTGAATGGCTAGCATTAAGAAATCAACTGTTGACAAATGCTGGAGAGGCTGTGGGGAAAAAGGAACGCTTCTCCACTGCTGGTGGAAGTGTAGATTGGTGAAACCACTGTGGAAATCAGTTTGGAGATTCCTCACAAAACTAGGATTAGATGTTTCATTTAACCCAGCTATTCCCCTTCTCTGTATATTTCCAGAAGAATTGAAAACGTCATACCACAGTGATACATGTGCACCCATGTTTATAGCAGCACAATTTGTCAGAGAAATCTTGGAAACAATCTAAATGCCCATCAACTGAGGAATGGATAAAAAAGATGTGGTATTTTTATACAATGGAGTATTTCTAAGCTAAACTCAAGGCTTTTATAGGTAGATGGATGCAACTACAGCCCATACTCACAAGTGAAATAAAGCGAACCCACATGTGTAAACATCACATTGTCTCCCTGATGTAAGAACATGAAAGAGTAAATAAAATCCAAAATGTATAATAGATAATAGGAAAGCAAAAGAAATTGCTCAAAGGAAGGAACAACTGGGATGAGGGAAAGAAGAAAAAGAAAGTACTAGGGCACCATATATATATATATATATATATTAAAAATGATTTTGCATGCTTATATATGGTAATCTGAGCAATTTATGTGAAGACAACCATTTGCAGTATAACATCCATTGGTGAATTACTACAGTCCTGTCTAGTGAAACTATGTATTGTCCCTAAGATTCTTTTAAATTATTATTGTCTATTCCCTTTAATGATTTGATCAATCCTTTATTCTTACATCTGGTAATCTGAGCAACTTCATTGAAGATAACAATATGTAATATAATAACCACTGTTAATCCCTGTCATTTGGTTTGAAACCCCCTATCATTTTTTATGTCCTTGCTTTGTTTTTCTTTTTGCTATTGTTCCTTTTTTGTACTATTTTCTTTAAAATAAAGAAAAATGAATCCTAAATCTTTCTGAAATCCGAAGGTTGTACTATGTAATTCTCCTTTACATAATGCAGCCTTTCTTATGGAATTTCTGCTTTGTTCCTGTGCTGGTCATTTTGTGCTTTGCTAGAAAATGTACCATCAGTTGGAAACTGGCAAACCCATAGTTGAATGTTACATTCCATTTGGTTTTGGAGAAGGGAGTGAAGCTCCCTTCTGTTTACAGCATCATTTGGTTTATTACTATATGAAAAGGGACCTAATGGCTGAGTTCTAGGACAAATTTCTAAATTTAAAGCATACTAAGTTTTAGCGTCTACAAGGCGTAAATTTTCATGCCATATTTTGACCCATCGCGTTTCCATAAGTCTTTTACATTACTGGAATTACAATGAGAAATCACTGCTGAGCACAGCAGACCTATGAATGCTTTCAGCTCAGCTAATGAGGTATAATAAATACATTTTTAATATGACCATTGGTGCATACACAATGTTTTACTTGTATTCAGTCTTTGTGTATTTCACAGCATCTTATAGCATTTTCTGTTACAGTTTCCAATATTGAATGGCGGTGCCAGCATTCTGTCCAATACATTTAACACTTGCAAAGAACCTCTCTGTATTTTTGGATCTAGTTCTAACATTGGATCATTCCATTCAGTTGTGTGGCAATTTTGTGACATCTTGGCTAGTCAAATATGTACTCAGATTGCTGTTTCCTTGTCATCTTAGTGAAGCAAGTTTGCATTTCTTCTGGCTGTATCAGTCGATGCTTGCCTCATTTCCATGTCACAGGAACTTTGTCACATTGCCAGTGTCATCGTTATCATCATCATCATCCACCCACACCACCGTTCTATTATGAAAATACGTATTTTACCATAATGGATCATCTTCATCATCCTTGTCTGAGTAATCTGATGATTCACATTTGACCTCCTCCAAACCTTGCAGGAGGATTGCTGTGAGTTTGAGGTCAGCCTGGTCTACAATGTGAGTTCAAGGCCAGTGAGACTGTGCCTCAAAAAGATAAAATCATGCCTCAAATATATATATATATATCTTAAAAGTATCTGAGAACAAAAATATGAGTAAACCTCTTACATATGATAATGAATATGAGGTAGGCACAGACATCTGCTGTGGCCATATAGCGAGCCCTGTCCAGACCTCATCACAGTTCAGAAGCTTATATTTGTAATCCCATGGAAAAGTTATTGGAATCCCAGTGAATTAATTCCAGTCTACCACTACCATTGTGACAAAGGGCAAGAATAACGACACAAGGCATATTTGTGGTTTTGGGGAGCCAAGAGGGTCTTAAATCCAGCTAGGGTAATGGCTAATTGGAACAAAAGCCTCAATCCAGGGCCAAACTCAGATTTTATTAATTCATGAAGGGAGGAGTGGCTTGGGGATGAGTGAGTAGCTGTGGTGGAAAGTTCATGAGTGCCATGAGTTGGGCTAGTCAGAGGCCTGAGATCACCTTTGCAATATGCAGAGAGGAGGATATGCGGAAAGAGTAATCTGCATAACACAATCTGAGATAGTATCTAATGTTTTGGGGTTGGTGCTTCAGCTCTGATATGTAATTTTTATGCCTTGGGGAGTCATAGCTTCTTATCTCAAGGCTCAATCCCAGCTGACAGCTTGGAGCATGGCTCACCTCCCACCCGGCTCACCATGTTTCTACGGAGCTATGGGGTGGGGCAACACTGACCTATCACCGTGCTGCAAAGAATACACATCAACACCTCAGTTAAGACCAATTTCGGTGCTGTAAAGAAAGATAAACTCGAGGCTTTTATAGGTAAATGGTCACAACTAGAGACCATACTCATAAGTGAAATAAATCAAACATACATGTGTAAGCACTGCATTGTTTCACTAGTGTAAAACCTGAAAGAGTTCATTTAAACTAGGAGGTATGATAGACATTGTGAAATGATAGGAAAGCACTCAAAGGTAAAGGGCAACTGGGATGTGGGAAAAGAGAAGGGAAAGAAGGAGAAATTTTGAATGTATGTACATACAGGATAGTTAACATGGTTGTTCTACTGTCTTCTATTTCTTTGCTGGAAGAAACTATCAATGAGTCCTTGGTTGATCAGTATTGCATGTCTCTATCTGTTTTCATGAGAAACCACTTTGAAGATATCAGTATGTAATACAACAAGCATTGTTAATTCCCTACCATTCTGTTTGTAACTCCGTATTGTCTGTACTGTTCTTTTGCTATTTTGTAAAATGTCTGTCTGTTAATGTTGTCCTCCTTTTATTTTTAAAATAAAAAAAAGACCAATTTGCACTGCTTAAAGCCCGTTGAGGGGAGAAGGAAAAGTCCTAGCCAGCTCTGTACATATCAATACATGGAATAGGGCCAGGTTTAGCCAAAATGGAGATGATTGCTCTTCTTTCAAGGAAAGTTGTCCAGGTCACCCTCCACATGGCCAGAAGGTGCCTTAATTCTTAACAACGCCTTCCCTACCTCCAGGCATGGACAACTAGCAAAGACAGTACTTGTGGCTCTAGTTTCTCACGGAAGATACAAACATTATTTTGGTGATGTCTCCTTTTTCACAGAAGCAAAACTCTTGTCCTACAGTCCTCTGACTCTATGCAAAATGTATTTATTAATAATAACAGCTACAGAACTGATGTGGAGATACCTGAAAACCGAGAAAATACATATAAAGAAGACTCAAATTAAATGACAAAATGTCACAGAATGTTGCCCCGTTAGTCCTGGCCTGAGTTGCAGATCCAGGCATAGTCACTGAGATGAAACCACGACATACATGGTATTTGAGAGTGTAACTGAATATGTACCATGAGATCTGTCCAAGCAGGAGAGACATAAATAGCAGTGAGTATGTAAGACATTTTATGCATAATGAAGGAAATATTACAGACCCTGGTCTTTAGGAAATAGACATCAACTTCAGTCTTACAGCATTGGTTTGAATCCAGGAGTTGGATTGAGTGTATAATTGATGTCATGCAGTGAGGAGTGAGGTATAATCAAGTACATATACCATACAGTAAGTGGAAAACGCTGTCTCCCTTGTGAGCTAACCTTCAAAAAGGAGAAGCTAAAATATGAAAAAATGCTCTGCTATTTTCAAAAGTGAAAGAGAACAGAATAAAAGACATTAAGAACAGTTCTAATAGAGTGAGCACAGAAAGGACAGGATAGGGATACACACAGTATCGATCTCTCTGTTCACAAACCCCAGACATTACTGACCCTGATTGTCAAGTAGAAAATAAATAAATGAAAAAGAAACTTACTGTATGATAAGGAAGTCTGCTGGGTTTTACATCAGACATACCTGTGAAATATAAACTGTTGTACAGGGAGAGGAAACTCCCGATCATTACAGCTCCATCCTTGTACACACTGGTGCTGCTGCTTTGAAGACAGTCATCATTAGGGAAGTTGCACATTAGGAAAGGAAACTGCAAAAAGAATAAGATGATAGTAAAAAAGAAGCATCTTATACGCATCTACGGATGGTTAGTGTAAAAAAAATGGGATCTGCAGTGTCAGTTAGGTGAATGTGTATCCCTGTACGAATTTATGTACTTAGCTAGGTAGGTAAATATATATAAATATATATTATACATTTATATTACATATATATGATATATATATATATAAACGTGTGTGGTTTATCATTTTTAAAAAGATAGATGCTTTCATAATCCTAACTACTCTCAGCCAAGCCTCTTCCATGTCTATGGAGAAAATTTCCACCATTTTCTCCTGAAGCTCTGCATCCGGGGTCTGGTGTCCCTGTGAAAAACATATGCTGGAAAATGTCTGAGGATCTACCTCTGCATCTCCGGGAACCATATTTCACTTATACCAAGTGCCTATGACCCTCCTCCTCCTCCTCTCCCTCTTGTGCACATCTTGTCCCAATCCATTATATTTTGCACATGCATCCATTTTGTTACAAATGTCTCCAATTTGTAGTTCTTCATAACCAAGT